TTTCACTCTGTTGAAATGACAGGGTTTCCCTGGAATATTGGTCTGCTCTTGATAGAAAAATGTAAAAGGGTTTTCCTTTATCTGTCCAGAAAAAGCAAAGTTTGCTATCAGGTCTTTAATTACTTAATAAATCTAAATCTTCTCAATATTAAAAAAGCTAAGTTTTGCTAACAACTATGTAACCTTCTGTATTTGCCTTTAGAATCTCTTATTGCCATCTACGTTAAGTTTTAAATTTTGTAATGATCTGTGGTCCTTTTTAGGCGTGTGCTTTTTTTTCAGATTTTACTTATTTATTTGAGAGTGCACGCACGAGAGCACAAACAGGAAGAGGAGCAGAGGGAGAGAGGGAGAAACAGACTCCCCACTGAGCAGGGAGCCTGAAGTGGGGCTTGATCCCAGCACCCTAGGATCACAACCTGCACTGAAGGCAGACGCTTAACTGAGCCATGCAGGCGCCCCTAAGCATGTGCTTTAAAACCTTCTGATATTTTTAACAAATTTCCCAAAATTCAAATTCTAAAAGAAGTCTTTTTAACTAATAAGGCTTATTTATTTGATATGTAAATTACATGGGAAGCATTGTCGGATAAGTGATGATTAATCTTTTTAGGTTACATTGCATGGGTGAATGCTATGAAATTCCTAAAGTTTTAATATATCCTGGTATAACATCATTACTTGTAATTCTGATTATTGAAGTACTATCACAGAAATATTTCCTTGTCAACTGCACTATAATGAAATTTCGTAAGATCTTTAACCAAGGCCATTTTGAGTCTTTTGTTATTTGCAGTTACTATTCTGATGCTCTTACAAATGTGTTTCATCTTCAAGGAGAACCACAGAGGCAACTTTGACAAACACAGGTTTCTGATACCCTAAAGATCATAAAACTAAGCCAACTAAGATTTACTGGGAATAATGGGAAAACTGTATTCAAACTGAAAAAAAATTAGTAACATAAGACTGAATGAATCGAGGAAGATGATTATAGTTTTTATGACCCTTGTTTGAAACGTCACTGGTTCTCTAATGTCTGCTCTTCAGGATTTAAGGAAGTATTTATCTTTTTCTCCCTACCTGATTTCTCCAGAATTCAGAAACTCTGTGAGTATTCTTACCTTCATGGAAATTATAGTTATTTGCATAAGTTCACTAAGAATCCTTTAACAGGTCACCTTTAGAAAAATTGATTCTATTACCAAGGCTTTGACTGGAATGTCCTATTTGAGAAAGACATGCATAGACTCAGATGACCAGACAGTTTTAAGGAACTAAGGTTGATTTTATGAAGCCAATGAAGCCCCCTGGAATAACTGGCATAGTTGGTACTTTGCTTACAGAGTTCCCAGGAGCCTTACCAGGTAAACAAGGAAGGTCACCTACTGACAGGCTCAGGAACATCAGGATATTTGGGGGACCCCAAGAAGCGAGGAAATAATCAGATCCTTAAAGGTACTGAAAGTGAGTCTGTTGGCAAGTACTTGGCTTGGCTCTTAGCCTTGAATGGCTAATTCCTTATGAAAAGTTCCAGCAAAGCAGATCTGAAAGAACATATGCAGCCAGTCACTATTCTTGTACTTACGTAAATATTTAGGCCAAATTTGTTAAGAATGGACTTGTTTTACAAACAAATTAGTCTTAATTTGGCTATTGCTGATGGAAATGAGGGTGATTTTTGGAGAGAAAAAATTAGGTTTCAATAATGTATCTTTATGGGGGTTGGATTCTACTTCTGATTAATTGTCCTCGAATGTTTATTGATTACCTTTAACATTGGGCTGGATCCTGAATTATTCTGGTTTCCTCAAATATCTAGATTTCTACCTACTTACACACTTACACGCCTGACTTTGAAAGCTCACCTGCAGGACCACCTCCTAAAATGAGACAACTGTTCAACTGAACTGACCTGATTTACACCTCGTTATGAAATGTGGAATAAGATGCTAAGACTATACATTAGAGTTCCAAAAAAATGCCTCTATGAAGGATGGGGGCTCAACTTAATATTAAGGGTTATCTGCAATTGGACACAAGGGAATTTCATTCCTCAAAATCCTCATCAATCCCACCTTTTCAGCAGGAAGTAGCTGGAGTCATTCCTGTCACTCAAGAATGAGGAATGATGAAAAGCCATGGTGGTATGGGGACCAAACCGCTATTGTTTTGTTGCCAAATGAGTATCTGTCATGTCTACTGACTCTCAAACATTTGTCTTATTGCCCCAGCTTCACACTGCTGATGTCCCTCCTTCTTGCCTCAGGAAGCATCTCCCTGTTGGGAGCCACCACTTATGCTGAAATTCACAACTGCTTTGATGTACATGCCCTACACACTGAACGGGCCACAAAGATGTTGGGGGTAAAGTGCATGAATGCTGACAATACCAACCCCATGTTTGGCCCTCCATCTTGTTCATGTCCAAGTGATGACCTCCCTCAGGGCTACGGGTTCCAGGTCCCCTGGAGGTTAATGTGTCCTGACGAGAATATGGGAAGGCTCATTCAGATCTTCCCTGAAGTTTAGATAACTAGTAGGGGTAACATACTTTCCTCCCCCCTCTTCCTGAGCACATGTGGCGCCACAAAGTCTGTTAAGTGTTAGACCTCTGACCTCACTACAATGCCCTCTGCACATCCCTTCGCACTCTATAAATGTGAACCAAGGTCCAGACACTGTGGAGAATAGCTGTGAGGCTGCCTGGATCATCACCTGCCCAATCCCCTGTCAGTAAATTACCCAGAATAAAACTCTGTGTGAACTGTATGGAGTCACCTGCTTCATTTTCCAATCTCAAAGTGCCTTCTCAGTTTGGGGGATACTTTATTGTCCCTCTTCCACCTCCCAACACTCCCTTTTTCTCATTTCTTAAAGTGAAGCAAGTCCTCCTGATTCTACAGGATGGCCCCAAAGTCTGTAAACCTACCTATACATGATAAATGGTTGAATGACATTACAAATCTTGATATGTTCAATGAGTGGTCCCTAATTAGAAATGCATAGTTCGATGTGTGCTGGTTTATTTGCACTGAATAAGTCAGTCTTTACCACACTGGGGTATTGGGGTGCTCCAGTGTGGTAATGGGGGTAGGAGGACGGGAGGGTGTAGAATGGGCAATCCTCATCTGTTCATAGTGCAACCTGCTCCACATGGCCACACTGTCCCACTCAGTTATAGAAATTATCATTCAGTCAGTTCCTTCTATCTCTGGTGTAATGGTCTGACTGGAGAGGCTCCCCCCTACCCTGTCAAGTGGAGGCACTGATTGGTTCCAGAAAGTGGTAAAATACATCACACACACTACCTCTTCCCAGACTTTATGACCATTTTTATATCCTTAAATCTCTCAAATCCATACTCTCTATTTTCTCTTGCACAATTGTAACAATCCCTTAATTGGTCTCCATGTCTCCAGTCTCACTCTCCTTAAGCCACCAGCTAATGCTACCAAGTGTGGCTTCTTTAAACTGTATATCCGACTGTCCCAGAGATCTGATATGTACTACTCTCTCCAGAGCGCACCAAATTTCAGAGTTGGAGGGCACCGAGAGGATGAAGTGCTTAGCCTGCTTAAGCAAACAGAAAAAGGAAAACAAAAACAAACCTAGCAGACAGGAAGGAAAGAGAAAAATGTCCATCCTGAGTTGTCCCCCGCCCACCCCCCGGCTGTCTTTGCCCTCCTCTCCAACTGCAGGCAATGTCTTTCCCCTAACATGAACCTTACTCCAGTTACATAGTACTTACAATTCTCTGACCAAAGCAGTCTATTTTATATATGCTATTTGTGTATGCCACTTTTTTGCCTTGAATACTACCATCTCAAAGAACCCTTTTCCTATTAAGTTGTTCTCAAAGGTCCTAATATCACATTCACTACTCTTCCTCTTAAGGATTTAGATTTAGATTTCTGTCAAATTTTAACACTTCACTGGATTTATCTGGCTTACATTTCTATCTTTATTAGAGTTTACGGTTTCTTGGAATAGGGATCTTGTTTTTTCTTTGTTGTTGTTTTTTTAATCCGAAGTCCCTAGTTACAGAATAGGCACACAAGTGTGCTGGCGCTTGGAGTAAGCTGTACATTCTAGACTTGCTTGATTCTTAACCTGTTCAGGATCCCTTGAGTAAGTGAACATTTTGGATAGTCTGCCCAAGAAAACGGACTGCAAATTTCCCAGAGGGGAGGGGAGGTCATGAAATTCCTGAAGAGCAATAAGGAATCCCTAAGGATTCCACTCATCCTAGTTTTAGAACCCTTGCTTTTGAGGCAAAGTAGTCTACTGCAGTATTAAAGTACACATGCTCCCTCCCTCTGCTCCTCCACTTTTGTAATTCCAAGTTTTTTCTGAATATATTAATTTAAATGGACCACAAAGTTTTTCACCCTCAAACCCGACAACAGGCCAGACTAATTAAACTGTTCTTAAAAACAAAACAAAATAAAATTGTACTTTCCTCATCTATGATCAGGTCTAAGACAAAAGAACCCAGCGAAAGTACCAGAGCCAAAATAAACAACAGAAACTGTCTTTCATGGTTTACAAATAAACGACTGTACTAATGCTTTATGTGCAATTTTCTATAGAATGACAGAGAATCTACTTAAGTACTGCATTCGAAACTTCCGATGTTTACACACAGAACTGGGCCTACCGGGTCTCTAGACCCCTTCTTACCCCTACACGCCAGTTCTAAAACAAGCTTCTTCACCCGCTCCACCGACACAATTCACATCACCTTTACGTTTCCCTTCTTGCCTATAAAATGGACCCGTACAGTTCCCGAATAGGGAGATACGGGCCTCTGGGGCCGGATGAAGACTCCAGAACGCCTCGAGCCTAAGCTCCAGGTGGCCGGCGCGTTCTTTCCCATTCACCCCTTTTCTGTTACGCCATCAGCAAGTTCTCCCGCCGCCCTCTCCTGTGCCTAAAAGAAGGCAGGCTATGTTATGGCGTTGTCCGCTCGGCGGGGGAAAAGACTAAGAGACTGGTACCTCTCGGAATAGCGTAGGAGCTCCGCATCTAGCTGTTCCCGGATACCGGTGCGCTTCCGGTTAAGGTAGCGCGGCGACAGGGCGATGTGTCTTCGGTGCGGGCCTGCCACCAGGCAAGAGTAGCGGCTATTCACCAGCGCACAAGCGGCAGCGTAAGTCGGCAGCTCTAGGCAAAGCAAGACGCCAGCCTGTCCCACCACCGGGCCCTCAGAAGCCGCCTTCGGCGGCGGAGCCTCTGAACAACCCGCAGCCATGCGGCTTGTCAGGTTTCCCGCGGCGCGCACAGCTGACGCAGGCATAACCGGCTGTCTCAGGACGCCGGGTTTCTACGTCATCCACCAGCTGGCACGCCCCTAGGAAATTTCTCTCCTTGAGTTGCATTACGCACTTCTGACCAGCAGAGGGCAGCAACTTCTTCGCACTTGGGACGACTGGAGGAGCGAGGAGCCTGTGCTTACGTATTGAGCATGCTCGAAGGAGGACCAGCCACCACTTCCTCTCTCCTGAGCGGGCAACTTTGATAATTTCCAGTAGTAAGGTGGCCTGGTAAATTTTACAAGTGTGGAAAATACAATAACAGACTTTAAAATTTTAGGGAATATATTTTCTGCAGGGAATCCAATCCTAAAAAGCAGCCCAGATGGCCTCAAATGCAACACATCCTAAAATAAACCCATCATCTCTGCCGTCTGGATTCTCTGCTCACTGGGTAACAACTCATTCAGGAAATCATACCACCACTTTCCAAATGGCTCAGTTCAGCTGTTATCCTTGGAGCCTCTCTTGTAGCCTCAAATATCAAATCAGCCCCAAGGCTTGCGGGGTCCAAAGCGGAAATACCAGTCTATTCAGATACTTCTGTCTGTCCTCGCTTCCAAAAGTACAGAAGTGCCTGTGGAAGCTTAACCCTATGGTCAAGAGGACACTCGGGAGCATCTTCTGCGAAACACAAATATAACCATGACTTGTCCACATAGGAACCCCAGTTTTCTCAGAATGGCACAGACTCCTTAATATGGATCTTAAGTTACTCACAAGACCGTATTAAGGTCTGCTGCCAGCCCAGCAGTTTCATTTATCTCCCTCCCCATTTTACATTATGTTAGCCATCCGTGCTAATTTACTTTGACCTTGCTCCCTCTCTTTTTCATCAGTTCCTGCTACCTGGCAATATAGTAACTTCTCTCAAATGGGAAAACTGTACTCATGTGTCAAATTTTAGCTTAGATTTTTGCACTCTTCCTCTGCAGTTTACTACCACCCTATCCCTCTTCCCCGCCCCCATCTAATTCTAGATGGGGGATTAGTTTCCCCACCTTTGTAAATTACCCCCATCAAGCCCTTGTTTTTATGTTAATTTTATGTCAGTTGTCTATTGGTCGGCCTGTTCATAGACTCCAAGCTCGCTGAGGCAGGAATCATGATAACTGTTTTTTTCACCACTGCAACTCTCAATGACTCAAAACAAAGAAAACAAAACAGCCAATGCATAGGAAATGAGTGAATGAATGAAGGAATTAACAGGCGATAAAGAGCTCAAAGTCTAATGAGGAAATAGGATCTAAACATAAATATACAACAGGACTGCACTGTGTAAGTGCCAAGAGAAATGCATAGCAGTTAGCGTTGTGACTTCTAACACCTCTCCACCTCTCCTAGGTATTGCAAAAAGGCTGTAAACCTCTCTCAATTCGTTTTTCTGCCTGTAAAATAGGAATAATAATGTACCTACCCTGCTCACTATAGAAATGGTAGGAAGTTCAAATAAGATAAGTGAAAAACACTTTCTCTAGTATTCTTTGATTTCAAAGTCAGCATGAGATGTTAATGGGATAAAACTGTTCCCAAAACCCAGTGATAGCTATAAGCCCATGAATAGGAAATGTAATAGCCTTTACCTGGATTTGATTGGAAAGTTCTGCAAGAGCCCTATGCAGGACCGCTTTGTTTAGTGTTTTCAGCTTTGGCTACACATAAAAATCACCTGAGGAACGTTAAAATCTGACGCCTTACCTGTGGTGATGAACACTGGGTGCTATACGCAACTAATGGATCGTTGAACATTCTATCAAAAACTTATGATGTACTATATGCTACCTAATTGAACATAATAATAAAAAATAAACAAACAACCAAAAAATAAAATAAAATAAAATAAAATAATAAAATAAAATCTGATGCCTTAACAGCATCCCCAGACCAGTTAAAACTTTTCCCTGCAGTCAAGATGTGTGTAGATTCTCTGCAGGTGAATTGAATGAAAACAATTTGTCCAAAGCAATTAGTGAAAACAAGAAGCTGGACATCAGGACAGTTGAGTCAAAACAAAACTTATCTAAAATCAACTACCCCAGAAATGATTTCTCACAAATTTTAAATATGGGGTAGTATTATAACCCTTTGTGTGCTCATAAGAGATTTGCTTGTTTGGTTTTGAAATTGTTTTTTACCTTTTAGTTTTTTAAAGTTCTGGCTTGATTGTTAGCTGCTATCCACAATCTGCATGGTTTGGAAGAGAGAAAAGGTGATTTAGCCTATGTGTAAATGTTCACCATTATGGAGTTACTTTACCAGATTAACCTGTTTCACCTATTACCCAGAGAAGAAGACAAGTACAATGAGATTCCTCCCACCTACCTTCCACCCCACACAAATTCACGAAGTTTATTTGATCAAGGACTCATAGTTGGACTGTACTATTTTCTTTTTGTATAAAATTTGATCAAAGTGGCACAGGAAGTCAGGCATTGCTGGTCTCTGTCTCATGAAAAGCCCTGTCAAGTCAAAGTCAAGCATGTGCTAAGAAAACCCCTTTTCTATAAGGAGAAGAGACAAGGTTGGACGTGACTTAGTCTCCATGTCCGCTCACACCCCCCACCCCCAAAAGAAACAAAATTGTCTCTGCAACTCTCTGGATTTTTTTTTTTTTTAACCATCAACCCCGCCCCCCCCCGCCGCACACATACACATTATGTTAGTTTCTATTCCTTGCAATCAGTGAATCCCTGGAACAATATAAGTGTGCAATAATTGGTAGTTTGCTGAAATAACTTACAAAGTAACTTGTGCCACATGCTCTGATTTTTATGGAAAACATGAACATTTATATGATTAGAAGAGAATCTGGATGTATAAATACTATGTGTTAATATCAGTTATCTCTTGAGGGTGAGTTAATGGCTTTTTAAAATTGTGTGAATTTTCATATGTTATCGTAATGAGTGTGCATTGTTTTATATTTTTAGAAAGTAGAAACTTAATGAGGGAAAAGATTCTTATTGTTGATGATTTGGGTCGTTACAAGATATCCTCATTTCTTAGACAGTTTAATATAGCGCAAGGTAAGGAGCCTGGGTGCTAAAGTTTCATTGTGTGAGTCTGAATCCTGGCTCTGCCACTTACTAGGTGTGTAGCATTATTAGGCAAGTTCTTTTTTTTTTTTTTTAAGATTTCATTTATTTATCTGACAGAGACACAGCGAGAGAGGGAACACAAGCAGGGCGAGTGGGAGAGGGAGAAGCAGGCTTCCTGTGGAGCAGGGAGCCCGATGCGGGGCTCGATCCCAGGACCCTGGGATCATGACCTGTGTCGAAGGCAGACGCTTAACGACTGAGCCACTTAGGCGCCCAAGTTCTTCCTTTTTAAAGAAAAAAAAATCTGAAATTATTAGAATAGACTTACTGAAAAAAATGGAATTCGAAAGTTCGATGTATAAAGGTTTACCCAAAATCGTTTTATATAAAGGGCAGTACTGCAGGTAAAAATGCCATTGTATCAGTCGGCTTTTGCTGCATAACAAACCATCCTCAAATCTGGTGGCTTACATAGCAATCACTAATTCAGTCCGTAATTCTGTGAGTACGAATTTGGCCTGGGCTCAGCTGGACTTGCTCAAGCATCTGTAGTCAGGTGTGGGTGGCTCCATGGGTCTCACCCTCCAGCAGGCTACAGTAGGTTTGCTTTCCTGGCAGCTGTGCATGTTTCTGAGTGAGAGACTGTGTGAGAGAAACCCTCTTGCCTAGACTCTGGAACATAGACAGTACAGTCCAAAGCATGAAATGCTGATGATCTCAAGTACTTTGTCCTTTGCCTAAGATAGGATCGGGGTCTACTTCTATACCAGATGTGCACTGGAAGTCCCTAAAAGTGCCGGCCCCCAACAGTAGAGTAATAACAGTCCCAACAAGAAGAGTTCCATCACCCTTCGGCATTGATTTTATCAAATTGATAGAATGAGTGATGTCATCAGTATCACAACCACCACCATGATCATCATCATCACAGCTAAACTTTACGACAAACCTGCCCGTCACTGTGGTAAGTGCTTTCTACAAATCACCAACACAGAATCTTTACACACTTACTACAATTATTAAATATTTTTACAGATGAGGAAACTATAATCTAGGAAAGATTTTAAAATATTGGCCCCGTGAAGGTAGCAATCCTATCTGTATTGTAAAAAGCTTCAAGCCTAGTGCCTAGCACATATTTCCTGAGTGAGCAAATGAATGAGTTTTCCAAGGATACACAGCTGCTAATCAAGGAATTTAACCCAGTCATGATTCATTCCAGAGCTCATGCTTTGACTCACTAAAAATCCTCACTTTTCCTATGCATGTGGCCAAAAATTATAAAGGAAGAAATTTTAAGAGTTAAGAAAATGGGTGCTTATTTTAATTAGACTTTGCCTAAAAAAACAACTGGTAAAGTGGGAATCAGATCAAACTGGTAAGTACTACCTTTTTAACAGGCTTGGAAAGATGTCAAAGCAGTACCAGCTTGGGCTAAAGTGGCAGGGCTGGGAGTCTTGCAGAAAGCAATTCACAATATGGCATGGCTGGTAGGAGCCAGGTGCTGGAGTCTGGTAATCTGGGTGTCAGTCTTGGCTCTGTAACCCTGCAGAACTTGCCTAGTCTTTTTAAACCTCAACTTCCTAATCTGTAGTGTAGAGGTATAATGATATGGAGAATCTTTGTGGAGTAAATGAGATAATGGCAGTGTCATACTAAGCACAGTGACTGGCCTATAGTAAGTGCTCAATAATATATCCTTTTTGGAGACCATGATCAACACATCAGTTATAATATGCCTGGTTTAGCCTGATGAGGGCTGTAAAGCTGCACTTGGGAGCAGGAACTTATAACTTCCTTGAATGAAGGGCAAACAGAGTCCTGGACCTAAGAGGAACATTCATATAAGAGTATGAATAAAAACTGGAGAATAACTTGGGGATCTCTGGGAATGAAGTTTTTGTTTTGTTTTGGTGTTATTAACATGATTAATTTCAGCTCCTCTTCA